AAAAAAAAAAAAAAAAAAAAAAAGTAAATTATTGATCTAGAATGATGGTTTTCAAAGTATGGTCTGGGGGCTCCTTGGGGTGCTCAAGACACTTTATTACGATTCATGGTATCAGGAATATTTTCTATAATAACCTTCAGCTGTTATGTGCCTTTTCCTAAGCCCTTTCTCTCATTAGTGGACAGTGGAATTTTCCACGGGTTACATGACAGGTGATATTACACCAGACCGAATGTCGACGCAGCTGTGAGATCAATGCATAATGCATCTATCTTCCATTCAGCCACATATTGTAATGCTCAAAAATGTAAATAAAAAATTAAGAAAAAACTAAATATTTGCCATCATGACATTTCATCTCTAAATACTTCAACGTGCATCTCCAAACTATATGACTCTTGTCCATAAGCACACGCATTAGCCATCTATTGCTGTGTAACAAACTGCCCCCAAACACAGCAGCAGGAAACAAGCATGTCTTTTCTCACTGTCCCAGTGGCAGGAATCTAGGAGTAGCTAAGCCTGGGCCTCGGCTCATGGGTGCTCAAGGTCTGCAGCCATGTCAAGGCTACCTGTGGCTGAGATCTGCAGCCAACATACTCATGCCGCCAGCAGGTTGCAGTCCCTTGAGGCTGGGGCAGGGGTGTTGGACAGGAACCTCAGGTTTTTGCCACACCCTAGAGCGACTTTCCACGTGGCAGCCTCCCTCCTTTGGTGTGGATGATTGAGAAAGAAAGGATACCCAAGGAGGACCCCTATAGCCTATTTGTACCCTCATCTCAGAGTGCTATTCCTCCACTCGACCACATCTTACACGCCTGTGAATTCAACCACTGCACTGTGAATCAAGGACTCCTTTGCTGAGGAGGGAGGGAGAAGAAGTGGGAGAGGGGCTGCCTCATTTCAGACAGGAACACTTCGTTATCCCAACCCTTGGAGACAAGGAAATATTTTGGCCTTTTAACACTCTCCCTCAATGCCTGGTAAAAATATCGCACACCTTGCAATGCCACTGCCACCATTGCTTCATGTCTCCCCAGGGCTTCCCACCCTGCAAACCTTCTACTTTCCATATGGTTCCCCAGAAAGCCAGGGAAGCAAGAACAGCAAGGACAACTGGCCCATGATATATGTCTGGCATCTTCTCTGAGATATAAAGTGAGGCAGCCCCAGGGGCTCTTGTAAGCGTCAAAACCAGACCCTTAAACACAAGCCTTGTTCTAAGGCTTCAAAGGGCGGTTGTTACCACCTGAGGGAGTATCAGATGGTTACCCTAAGGGCAGCCTGTGTGTGTCTCCCGGCTGTGTAGACACTGCTACCCTCCTGGCCTTGCCACAGTTGACACCAATGCGGTAAGTCACTTTTCATCCTCAGAACACCTCAGAGCACAGACCATTGTTCCCACTCTTGCAGAAGAGGAAATGGCCTCTCAGATGCAAGTCTGTCCCAAGTTGAGACTGCACATGCACAGGACACACTCAGGACTGCTGGGCACAGGTGTTTTGACAGGTTCCAGGACGCGGTCATCTAAGGCTTTTTTCCTCCTAACACTTTCCTTTCTGCCAGGCTGATGCCCTTGGAACAAATAGCATACAAACAGCCCTCTCTGATTTTGACAGAAGCTGATTCTGAAAACCTTCAATATAAAAAGGTCTTCACACTATATTTTCCAGTATATGAGACATTATGACAAGGAATCAGATTTTTAACCAAGGGCTTCACATTGAACAAATTATAGGAAAGTGAATTCTAGAATATTGGAGCCAGAAAAGCATGTAAAGATCATCTAGGGGCTGGGGGAATCTCAATGATAGAGCACTTGCCTAGCATGTGTGAGGCCCTGAGTTCCAGCGCTAATGCTGCAAAAAGAAGGAGAAAGAGGAAGAAGGAGAGGAGGAAGCAGAGGAAGTAGAGGAAGAAGAGGAAGAAGGGGAGGAGGGGAGGAGGAGGAGAAAATGGAGGAAAGAGGAGATGGGGAGAAAAAGAAGAACATCTAAATCATTGGTTCTCAACCCAGGGGACTGGAGTCCTTAGGGGACTTGTGGCAATTTGTGGTGACATTCTGGGTTGTCACAACTGGGAGGAGGGACTTGCTATTGGCATCTAGAAGGCAGAGACCACAGATGCTACTAAACATTCTACAATGCACAGGACAGGTCCCAAGACAAGCAGCTGTCCAGTCCCAAATGCCAACTGTTCCAATGTTGAAAAACCCTTTGTTACTCTGAAGATGAGAAAGCTGAGGCCTAACGACACAGAGTGGCTTGTTCAAGGTTACATAGCCACAAGGCCAGAAGTGGAATCTAAGACTCTATTATGTCTGCCTCTGTCGTCTGCTTCACTCTGTCTAGAACTGGCCTGGGTGATAAGGGAGTGGGGATGGGGATTTTCATTCTTTTTTTAATGCTGGGGATGGAACCCAGGGCTTTGTGCATGCTAAGCATGTACTCCACCACTGAGCTACATTTCTAACTGATTTTCATCCCTGTACCCAACCTAAACCAAGGAAAGAAAATTGCAATAAATAAAGAAATGACTGAATCACCACAGCAACATATCAGGGTATCCCAAGCTGAAAGAAATGCCTTCTTCATGGTTAATGAAAATAGTTCTGTTTTACTGGCCCTTCTGAAGCGCCTGCTGTGTCAAATCATTCATGGAGTGAGTTCCAGTACAGTTTACTGACGCCTCAGCTTCCAGAGAGGTCAGGTTTTCAGGAAAGAATGGCACATTCACCTTCTATGAGTGCCCACACATATCCTGGCTACAGAACGGGAGGAAAGGAATGTGAACAGGGTAGGCAAGATTCCATCACGCCCCCTCCCCACACACACACTGTCATTCTGGAACTGAAGAGTCACCTGACCCTCTCCTTCTGCAGCTGAGTCATAAGGCCCCTTGCTTCAACAAGCTAATTATTCAGCAAGGGAATTAAGAACTCTGGAGATGCTTAGGGCTTGGTGTTATCTCCACCCCCACACCCCACTAAAGACCATTTTGTTCTGCGAGATTCAGCAGACTCTTACACTGGCACATTATCCTTGGAGGCTACATTTTATTTCATTTTTAAATCTACTGAAAATACCTGGAAGAAAAATACATTTAAATGCTGGCAAATAATGCTAGAAAAATGCCTGAAAAATAATGCACAATGATTTACGTAGCACATTTGGCCCTTAAACTGCTAACCAAGAAGTTGCCATCCCCCAGCAAGCTTTTGCCTTGAAAGAAATCAGGCTAACGACTGAGAACAAACCCGCATAAGGAGAATAGGCAATAGGTTATTATTTAAGAACCACAATGATGATAGCAAAAGCTCCGGTCTGTCTACTTGGCCCCTGCCCACCTTCACGAGGTGGACACGCCAAGACCCAAGTCACGCGTGGTGGACCTGCCCCAGGCCACTCCCCGCCGGGTGCAGCAGCAGCAGCAGCAGGCAGGCAG